TTGTATCAGAACTTGGTTAAGCAGCAGAATGCAGTAGAGGCTTACAAGCGTGTGATAATGAAGTAGAGGCCAGGCTAATGAGATATTAGAGAGTCGTCAGGCGGACTTTGCCAGTATACTCGAGAAGGTGAGTTGCCTCTATTGCTGCTTTTCTAGGTTTGTGATGATGGCTTGGTAGATGTGTACATACATTGCGACGAACAGCAAGGTGCAGGCTGGTGCGATTCCAGCGTTCGAGAAACAGATACCAGAGATGATACAGGTTAGTAAGGAGAAGTCAGAGAAGGCACGGGCCGCGAGGGAGGCCGCTAAGGTGGGAATTCGATGATAACTGGGGTCTTACTTGTCGTATTTTAGGGTAGTGAATCGCCTAAAGAGACGACTCCCACCACCACGGCTACTACAAAGGACGAGTCTCCAGATGTAACGCCGACCAAAGCATCGGCGGACGAGGAGCCGAATTCGACGGAAGCGAAGAAAGAGTGATTACTTGGTCAATCGGTGGACGATTATAGCAAGTCTCGTAGTGATGTATAGGAGTCTATTCAACTACCCGTATAGTGTAGAAGAGTTTCTGAGTGTTCTCGTATCTACCAGCATACTGCCTATGTCAGAGTTTTTATCGTGGTTGTTGCCACATTCCTAAGAGACTATAGTTGCCCCGAGTTGAGTGTTTTCAATGGCGTACCTTCGTGGTCGTTGAAAATTTTAATTTTTGTATTTAATTAGTGAAATGATGCCACTTTACTCTAGCGAGACGATGCGGGATGTGGAGGGTTCGGTAGGCTATGTGCTGAGTGTAGCTGAGACGACGTATGGCAACTCGACAGGTGTTTGGTGATCGACTGGAGAATGCAAGAGAAGGAGTGACAGACTATCTGGCAAAGGCTGAGGTGAGGGAACATCATCGCTTTGAAGATCTCGTGAAGCGTGGATTTATACTCGGTGATTTCTCGACAGAAGAATCGTAGGGTATTCGTTTTCGACCCAATGTAGGTCTTTATCGTTGGTCATTGGGTTTTCAGCTTCTGCAAAGGGAAGTGATATGAGACACCGAGACTAGTGTTACTGAATATAGAAGTATACTCAATCTCGACCCCTTAGTAACAAGGAGTTTTCTATCGACAAGAATGGTGATAGTCCACAGGTGAGAGAAGCGTTTCACAGTAGGGCGTAACACTTGTTGTCCTTCTGATCGCAGTATGAACAACTAGGGGAGCTGCTCGCGAGGCAGATTGAGATTATGGGCGCCTCTAAAGCGAACACTCGACCGCTGCTGAGCGATTCGATAGCAGACGCAGAGACCCTAGTAGGAAAACTGAACGACCTGGAGACGCAGTTCACTGAGAGAGATAAGGCTGCAGAGGCACTTGCACAATATAGAGGGAAGTTAGCTGCATTGAATGAGGAGCAGGCTAAGGAGCTCAAAAAGAGTGTTCAAGATAGAATAGAAAGAGTAGGAGTCGGCTGAGATGTGGAAACTAATTGTAGTTGTTGTGGTATCAGAACATAGTGAAGCAGGAAGATGCTATGTCCACCTGCGAGAGTGTTGACCATTCTTGTCGACAGGGAGTGATGTCCCTTTTGGGCAACCGGGAAGCGTACTTCTCTCGGGTACTAGAAAACGTAGATGTGGGATGTGCTCGAGCTTGCTGTTCGCATTACACTCAATTAGTAATTGAGTTGACATACTAATTGAGATGGCATAATTGAGATGATACACTCGATCAACAGCAATTCCGAGTCAATTCCAGCGAGTAATCGGTGGAACATATCATAGAGCCTTCATAGAGCGGCAACTCTTTCCACTGCTTGTGAATTCTCCCATTCCTGGGGTTTTCTCACTTTGATATTGATTGTATGCAGGGGATGAGAGGCGATGTACTTGGCGGTGAATTGTAGGGCTAA